ACCATAATGACTAATGTATTGTCCACTGCGGTTAAACAAGCATTGACAGCGTCTGGTATGTCAAAGGCCAGAGCATTAGTTAGATTTTTTTTTTTTTGTTTTTTGACTAAATGAGTGCTGGATCAGTGAAGTCACAGGACTCTAATTTCCCCCACACGTCTCTCAGCACTGCAATTTCAGATACAGCTCAGGGCGAAGGGTGAAGTTCAGCCCAGGCACAGCAGATTGTTTTTGTTGGACCCAGCTCTGTTATACACTCATCAGCTATGGAAATGATGCCTGCTCCTTGCAGGTTTTTCTACAGGAGGGACACATTTTAGGTGCCAAGAGCAACATGACCCGAACTGTTCCACTTGGAGGAGAAAATTGTATTATTTGTGTACACAAGAGGAGAGCGGTGGATAATTGCAAGCAGGGGCTCTAATCAGAATAGGAGCAATGAGAAATTCATCATGTTCTATTGGGACATTTAGCTGGAAAAGTAGAGACAAAAACCTGGAGAATTGTTTTTTTGCACAATGGGAGAGATGCAGTGGTGGGGGGAGCAGTAGAGTTTGTGATGATGGGACTGGAGACCCAGACGGCTGGACCAGGAGCTGACAGATGTAACTGGTCAGTAAGCAGCCAACAGAGGGTCAGTTGCATAAGGAGTTCTCCCTACACTGACACCTAACAAGACACCATAAGGACCCCTCTCCTCTCTGATGGGCTTAGATATGAGGCCAGTGACTTCTCACTGCTGTTGCACATTAGTGGATTTTATGTTTACTGAGAGTGAGTGGTTCTTAACCTTTTTCGGGCCAGTGCCCCCCTACCCATTATCCAGGTCCCATACCACCCCCATCAGATAAAATGGCTAACTGTCAAAAATTATGATTATTATTATCAATTAATCTTCTTACAATTTATATACAGTTCTTATTTATTATTTGTTCATTTTATGTTCTTATTATTATGATTATTATTGTGTTACATCATAACAGATTTGAGGGTTGAACCCCTCCAAAGGAGATAAATCCTGTGAAGAGAAATTATATTTATATTGTGAAACAAATGCAACGGTTAGAACTTTGACATCTAAACTTTAATTAAGTGTCAATATTGATCGCAAACAGCAGCCAATCAGAAAAGCCAAACAAGAAGCATTCTTATTAACTCTTCCAATGGAAAACAAGAGCAGCCTACCAAGGAAAAAGTTTGAGGCTACTGAAAAAAACAAATGATTTATCTTAACTTTCAAAGGAAATCAGCAAAAATGCTTTAAAAGTGTGAGCCAGGTGCTTGGTGGTTCTCAGTGTAGTTCCTGCACTGCGGGGTTGCACAGAAGTTAGTTTGAGCTGCAGTGCACCAGAGGTCAAGCGAGTGTGGTACTTGGACTGAATGTGGAGGACCTGGCTAAATCCCTGTTCAACGATGTTGGGAAAGCAAGAAGAAGCAGCTGGGCATATTTGACTCACATGCTGCCCCAGCCAGAGATGTCAAGAGTAGCCTGGGCTGTGTCACTGCACTGGATTTCAGTGCATATATAGGCCTATATGTCACATATTATGCAGTATGTAACTTTTTGGCATTAAATAGGGCAGAATTAATTTAGCAGATTTTTGAATGAGTTTGGTCTGACACTGATTTGTGCTGAACCTGGTAAATTTAATTTATAGACTTATTAAAGATAATGGTGTTGCTGTGGCTCACCTTGTCAGGTGGCTTGTGTCTGGTTTTAGAAAATTGTTTAAGAAAATTGTTCATTTATGTTTATGATGATTGTATAGTTTGTGTTAATATGCTTTGGCAACATTGTAATTCATGCAGCCACACCAGCGAAACCACTTGAATTGAGTGGTATGTCTGTGTGTGTGTGTGTCTGAATGCTAGACACCAAGTTGCTTTCATGGGAAGTCCGACAGCAGAATATCCTTCTTGTAAATTTGTAACCACGGCAATAACACAGCCTTCACGTAGCTTCTTTTAAGAGGAAGAAGCTCTTTATGTCCTTCACAGAGAACACGAAGGAAGAGAGTATCCATGTTTCCGTCATGTTGGTGAAATTTTATGGATGATACTCTGACCTCCCTGTTCCCTAGAAGGCAGCATGGAGCAGAACTACAGACAGCTGACAGAAACACTGAAGTGATTACTCATTGCTATGGAAACAACACACCTTCACAGCTAGTCACACTGGTGTTAACTAGCAGCCTTCAATGTTTTATAGTTTCTCCGCATGAATCTTTGCTGTAAACAGACACCCCCCCCTCAAGAACAACTCAAAGCCCAAATATTTCAGATACTGCTTCCAGTGCCCCCCCAACCCGATGTTCTCTGAGCAACACAGTGACATGTGTCATACTATGACATACAGTATATTTTTGCTTGTGAAAAGTAACAAAATCCCAGTGAAAGTCTTTGTGTTGATTTCACCTCATACATTCAGTATCCTCCGCCAAAGTTTTTTGCCAAAAGTCAGAAACTTTGTCCGACACACTTATAGCAGTGCATGCAGCAGTGACACGGTAGGAAAAAGCTGTATTACAAGTAATAGTCTTGCATCTAAAGTGTTACTTAACGTAGATTAATAGCTTGGGGGCAGTTCAACAATCTGTGCAGACAACATTCTCATTTTATTACCTTATTAAGTGGATAAGGCAAACATGCTGTGGCTTATTTACACACGTATAACACATGGACAACATTATCATTCATTCAGAGTTGTGTTTGTGTCAACATGATGAATGTAAGTCTAATACTCACTCTTCTTTTATCTCTGTACAGAGAGAAGAGAGAGTGAATCAAAACAGTAAAGTTGTAGGCCAGAAAACCAAGCCAATTAGATAAAAGAGGTTAGTCTACACTGAATCAGATGATAAATCTCTGCTGGTTAGACTCCTCTCACGTTACACATAGTCATTTGATCCATTGTTAATGTAGAAATATGGATTCATGCAGCTTTAACTAAAAGCAAAGAAGTATTATAAACAAAATATAAAGTCAAAAACAGCAGTTACAGTGTTATATTATTGCAAACGTGTACTATATTATTTATGTATTGTAGCTCATTTTACTGTTGTGGGGCTAATTTTCACTAGATATAGGTAGTTGAATCTATTTATCATTACGTGCATCATATTTTTTAAGCTGATTATAGTGTGTGTGTGTAAAGTCTTAACCTCCAAAGCCATTTGAAAATATTGCTATCAAATAAAGTACAAGTGTACTGAAAAGTACAATATCTCTTTGAAATGTGGTGAAGCAGAAGTGCAAAGGAGCACAAAGTAAAAAAAAGAAATACTCAGGCAATGTAAAAGTACCCTATAATTGTACTTGAAGGTGCTATATGTGGGTTTTTGCTATCTATACTTAGCCATCGTTAGCATTAACAGCTGTTTACCTACCAGTCTACAAGAAACGTTGCGAGATCAGCATCAAGCATCATTCCTTTGCTCACGAAGTGCTGTCTCCAGCAGTGGAAAGCAACACCACCAACACCAATGTTTACTGTTGTTTTGCATCTATTTCTATCACTTCTTTTCTTCTACAGAAGTTTGCACGCTATAGTGAGTCACTGTAGTGTCCAGCCTGCCCTCAGTTCAGCATGAGAGGATGAAGAAGTAGTGCTGCCACATTCTAACCTCTTGTCCTGCCAACACAACAATGCCTGAAGCTCTTGGAAAGCAACCATTATCACCACAAGCACTACACCACCCACTCCCAGCAAGAAACCACATTCGGCAGCGGAGAAACTCACATATAGCCTCTTTAAATATAGCATTTCAGTCTCCACCACTGTTGATAATGGTAGGTAATGAGAGGCGAGTGACAAAAGGATTGTATTGACCACTGTTGATGAATACCTCAATAAAAATAAACTGTGCCAAGAAACATCACTACTGCGACACAAAGACACTGACTCATCACTAAAAGATCTCTTTCTACCCTGTAATCCAATTATTCAAGGCCGTGCATTCACCATAGGGATCACTGAGAATGTCAAACAGTGAGCTGGTACATAATGAAAAGAAAAAATATTGACTGATTGTGGCGTTTGCAGTCAGGGGAACAGTATACCTTCCCAGAAATGGAGCGGAAAAGTAGCTGGCGTTCTTGTTGCCAAATAAACCACACAACAAGAGGCGTTGCGGCCCTGTTGACACAGGGAAACATATTTCTGTCAGCACTCCATCAATATTTATGTTAGAGAGGCTGAGTCAGAACAGGCAGCAGTTAAACTAATCAACAGCAATGTGCTCCTGCATCTGAGCCCCGTTGCCTGTTGCATTACATCAAATTCATCTACTATAACACACACACACACACATACACACACCCATATGCGCCACAGACCACCAAGAAAACAAAGACAGGAAGAGGATGGAGGCTTGCGGCGACATCTTCTATGAAAAAGATGTGTAAAAGCCAGTGTTGCCGGTCTACTTTATCACCACAATTATGATTCAGCATCTGTTCCTCTTAGCGTGTGATCCGCCAGCGCTCCGCCGGCGCTGGGGGAGCGGCTGGACGGCCAACCTCTAGAGACGAGCCGCAGATTGCTCTGAGGTGTTGGCACGCTGCCAAGCCAATTCTGTCCTGTCCTTTCAGATCCTTATCAAGGGCGCCAATAACAAAAGGTAAATCACAGCTCCTGAGCGTGAGTGAGAGACAGGCAGGGGGGGTATATCTGTGTTTGTATATGTTACATCTGTCTCTGTGACCCCGGTGAACATGGCTGTGCTGAATGAATGAAAACGCATGTGTGTGTGTGTGTGTGTGTTTTTTTTTTGCAATAGCACATGTGTTTGTTTCTCTTTGTACCATGATGAGACTGTTTATGGAGCAGCTTATTTGCTTGTGTGTTTTGACTTGACTTACAAATATCCTTCAGCGTGTGTTTGTGTATATGTGTCAACGCAACAGGCCAGTCAACAGCTAATCAGCTCCCAGCTCACATTCACCCATCCATCCTCCCTCCCCTCATCTCCCTCCTCCTTCCTCTCTCCGCTGTGTTGTACCTGGTCAGCAGGCAGCAGTCGTGAAGCAGGGTTTCCTCCACATAGACGCCCCGGTCTTCCTGCGTGGTCACAATGTGGCCGTTGTGACGCCACCGCAGCTCCACCGACGGGTCCACGTAGGAGGCGGTGCACTGCAGGGGGAGCCGGTCTCCACGGAAAACCAGTTGTCTCTGAGAGGGGATGAGCTGGAAGAGGGGCATCTCCAGAGGTCCATCTGGAAGATGCGGAGAGAATAAAACAGGAAGGTCAGCTTGTAAACCTTCCCTTCCCCCCTTCCTGAAGCGGGAAGGCAGAGGAAGAGTGAGAAGGTCATTCTTCCATCCTTGAGAGACGACGGAGGAGGAGGAAGAACTGAGGTTTTACAGGATGTACGCTCTATATGATTTTGCCTGTTTTGCCAGTGGTGTTAACATGTAGAAACACAGCATTACATGCATGAACTGTAATCAAATCAGACTGATAACAAGCCTGCACACACTACCACAGACACACACATTCTTACCCGATGCCATACACACACAAACACATGCGTATGCCCCCAAAACACTGTCAACACACACAAACACGCACAAATCTATTCTGTCAAGGTCACACTGCTCCCACGTCGTTCCCACATGTTGTTGCTGTTGCTGAGCGAGATGAACAGCAGCTGATAAAGGAGAGCAGCCTTGAGCGCTCTCCTGGACTCTCCTTGACTCCTTACATGTTCACAGTGGACGCCGGCTGAAACACCAGTGATGGGATTACTTACCTAGCAGTCCTCGAGCCTTTTTGCCAAAGAATACGCCAACGGTAAGGATAAGATTAGAAGACAGCGGAGAGTGTTTCGTCCAGTGCCAGAACATGAGAGGGGGTTTGATTTTTAGTGAAAATCCCTTAATCCCTAATCAATCTAATCACACTGTAGATATACAATTCAATTATCTCCAATCATGCTGAACCCATGGAGGTGTGTGTGTTGCCTGGTTTGGTAAGGATAGAGCGGCCATGTGGTTTTGTTGGATCCAGCATGAGCCCAGCACCTTGCCAGCTCACTGAATCCCCTTCGGTGCATGTTTGCTCATACAAGGCCAGACATTTCCTTGGACATGCTCCAAAGAGCAGCGTAAGCAAGCACTTTGCCTTCGCTTGTATTCCAATCAAGTGTGGATGTCGCTGCCGTCTGACAGGCAATTCAATACAAGAGTCATAAAGTCTGTTATTGCTTCATGCATCGGTTTGAGAAGGAAAAAATACTGAAAGATCCATGTTGGGTGGTGTGGCTGAATGTCTACAGCCCACGACTTAACATTTCAACCGAGCAGGAGAGCTTGCATGATTGTTTATGATAATATAGAAGCCAGTAAGCAATCGCAGCTATTAACACATGCAGGGCTTTGACCTCAATTTTCCATACAAGTAATTCATAATCACAGGTGCCTAATCAAAAGTGCCATGCTTTCGAGAGTAACATTAAAAGTCTGTCACTAATATTGGATCTTCCATGTTGACATCTCTGTGTAATTACTAGAGCTGACCCTGTTAGAGTGGTAAGACCCTATGATAGTCCTCAACAACAGTAGCCGGGGCTTTGTTATCTCCTGCGGGTGACACACAGCAGAGACAGCATGGGGGCCATTGACTGTTGACTTGGCTGATGCTGATACTGTTGAAACAACGCTTTGAGCCAAGGATCAGAGTGTGGCTGCTTGCCTTCGGCTATTGGACAGTGCCAGAGCAAAATGCAGTTATTGGTTGTGTGCTTGTGTGTGTGTGTGTGTGTGTGTAGAAGAAAGAGAGATGGAGACAGGGAGAGAGGCATGGTGATATGTATGCTTTTATGTGTGTGCATGTTTTGGAGTATGAGAGTTCATTAGCAGTGTGGCTCAGTCTGTGGAGCACACAGTGATGCACCCTCACTACCAGAGCTCTGATAGAATACAGCTGACTTATTACTGGTACAAGCAGTCTATTAAAATGGACCCTGGAGTGTATCCCCACAATAATTATAGACATACAATGAATTCAATCAAATAAGAAGTTCCTTAAAATATTTAAAAATGTTAATGAAATCTAAGCCCATTTTTTTTTGGCAGAGTCCGTCATTATCACATTGGATTCAGACACAGACTCTTTCACACACATAAATGACACTGTCACATAAAAACACTGATAACAGACCCACTGAACCTCCTATGGCTGCTTCTGGCCAAACACAGGGAGGCTTTTATTGTGAAACAGGAACAGCAGTGCATTATCATGATTAGCATTAACTGTGATCCTTCATCAAAAATGTATCTACAAAACAACACAATGTCAATTTCAGCATTTTTTTCATCAGGGGATCATTTTTAAGTGTTGCCTGAAATTGTAAAGAATAAAACTTTAAAATTGCCAATTAATAAATCTAATGACATAATCTGTCTTTAAATGATGAATTGTTAATTGAATTTTAAACTGCAGTAACATACATTATGTGTAAGCAGTGTGTCACTTGAATGGCAAGCCCACAGACAGACAACAGGAACTTTGATTGGCCAGGTGGTGAGTGTCAGCGAGGAGTCATTTGTTAGGTCAGGCCAATCAGAGCTCCTGCTGCTGCATCATTTAAATGCAAATTCAATTCATCAATCTGAAAAAGCATTTTAAAAATGATCAATGTACTAAACAAAAGTAATTAAGTCTATAATTATTTACATGCTGGCACATGTCATGCTCCATATTTGTCAGCACCTGTTAGCACTGTAAAGTTATTATGGTAACTGTCACAATTTTGAAGTCTTTTAACAATAAAGATTTGTTTTTGTCAAAATACAGTATATCATATGGCTGAACACCCTGCTATAAGCTTGATTTCCTACTCTCCGTCTTTATTCACACACAGTGAAGGTTTTACTTTTCAATCTTGACTTTGATCCAAACCACAACAGTTAATGAAATGAAACAAGTAGATATTCTCATGCTCAGACTGATTCTCCTGTATGTGTTTCTAGAGTCACTTCATTATCCCTTCCTCAAAGAACCTGATTTAAAAGGAGGTGTGTGACTGAACTTCAAAGACTAATATGACAGACTATGTTGAGTTATATTTGATGATATTTTTATATCATTAAATTATTAGAGGCACACCACGGGCTAAAAGACTTGGGCCTGCACATGAAATTTAATTTAATGACACGATGCCCATAAAGGGCAATTGCACTGCTGTGTCATCATGCAATAAATACTGCTATAGATAGCAGAGGCTTGTCCTGCAGCATATAATATAGCATGTGAGCTCCACTCTTTAAGTCTGCGCTGCAGCTCTCATCCCAGCAGTGTTTAAGAACCAGAGGGCTGTGGCTAGATGAGTAAAACAGAAGCCTGCCCTAACCTCAACACAGGAAGCACCTGATCCTGGCAGGAAGCTGCATGCGCCCCTCCATTCCCCCTCATTTGCAGGCAGTACCTGACCTGTATCAGTGGAGGGACCAGGGCTCATTGCTGGAATGTGTGGTGCAGACATCTGCTACCCATCACGCTGGAGCCGCTGGAGAAAGAAACAGATGCATCTTCGATGACAGATCTTCATAAAAACAAATGAGGAAGATCTCGTTGAAGAAATATTAATATTTCCAATAGTATGTGAGTGTGGAAGAGGGATATTTTCATCCAATCCCATAGTTTTTCCTGATAACAAGAAGCTAGCATAAGGTTCTTAGCACTATCCTATCCAAACAGCCTCAGCGAGGTCCTAGCCAGTGTACGACATACCCTCACAAAGTGAAACCATATGGAAATAACAACCATCAAATAACATTTAGAAATGTGGTTGTTAAAGCACCCCACTGTATCCAATTGAAAATTGCTTGTTGTCAAGTGAGTGAATAAGGTATTGTAAGATGGAGTTGTGCTGTGGAAAGGCGGATGGATCCAAGCATGGCAATAGCAGGAAGCCCAGAACGTTATCAGTGTAATCCCATAATGGATGCTTTAAGGCCTGAAAGGAGCATTCCTCGTCCTGCCACTGGATTCCACTCATGGCTCTTTGTCCATGCAATGCGCAGAATTACCCTGTAATTGCTTTGGATTGTTCTGTGTAAATGAAAAACACATACAATTAGGATTACATAGAATAACTCCAGAAAGTCTGCAGTGCAGACATCTCAGGACGACGCCATCTGTGTATTCAAACACACAAACTGCAGGGGGTTGAACATGTACATGCTGCACATTGGGACAAGTTTCTCCTCATTAGTTTTCTGCAAATGGTTTAACACCATGCATACAGTGCATCGTCGTATAACGTCCCTAGCTTCACACATACACTCATGCACAAACACACAGGCACACTCCACCACTAACCAATGATTTTCTCATTCCAAAGCAATATCCCCTGCGTCAACCAGATGTAAAGAGAAGAGGAGGATGATTCTATCACATATGAGATACAATTCCCTGTGGACCGCGGCACAGAGCATGGAGATAGAGCAACGGAGGGGAGACAGGGAGGGAGGCAGGGGGAGATTGCCTGTCTGTAACTAGTTTTTCAGAAAAAAAGAAAGTAAAGACTCTTGGATTTCTCTTTACGGTAGCTAACAGGTTCTAGTCAGTGAAGAGGCCATTTTATTCTGCCTAAAAACTCAGTTTGATGCACCCACTACTGACAGACACCATGCTGCAACTTCTGTTTTAATCTTTTAGTCTTCAGACTCATATTTAGGCCTAAAGGCATAACAATAACAATATAGCAGCAAACAACTATTTTCAATGGAAAGATATAGTGGAGTAATGGTGTCCTGAGTGGAGAACAATGTCACATCCCCTCTGTAATTTGGTATCCAGGATGGCAGCAGGTGCATGTTAGTGCAAGTTGGCCGCACCCTGTTAAACCATTGGCCCTGCCTATGTTTAGAAACACAAAGGGACATCCCACAGGTATGATGGCACACTGAAGAAACCATGTTTTTTTTTGTTTTTTTTTATCTAAAAAGGCCTCTGGCAAAGAGATAAGACCAGAGCACAGGCAAACTGGCCAGGGCACTACTGGCTCACATCCCGGTCAGCCGGTGGACCATCAAAACATTTATAAAGTTTTTACCGGTTCCATCAGTGTCTTTACTGGCTTCGTCACTGTCTTTAACAGCCCACTCTGTGCTCCTGTCAATCAGGCGGCTGGTCCCAGCAGATAAGTCCAAGGCTGAATTTCTTTCCCAGCCCGACCGTGGCGCCAATACTGGTCTGGCTTTACCGAGATGGAGAGACTTAAGAGCTGCTGAACGGCTTCAGCTCGACTAAGACTGGCTTTTCTTCTCCTCCATGTGTAAGTTACTTGATGGCTACATAATGTTACATGTCTGTTTTCATTACAGCTACAGCAGGCATGACAATGTTAGCTAACTTGCTGGAACTAATATTATTATTGTATTCAGCAAATGTTGCTATCATTAGTTGGCTTAATGCCAGCATTGCCTGGCATGGCAATACTAGCAGAGCTTTAAAAGTTGCAGTTGTGCAAATAATGTAAATATTTAAAAAAAAAAAAAAATGTCATTAATTTCTCAGCCTCTTGGAACAAGAAATGTAACTACACTAGTATTCTAAAAATCAAACATAGATACAAAAGTTTTAGTCTTACAGTGCATTCTTCTTTCTTCTTCTCAGTATTCTTTCCTTCTTTCTTTTGTTTTTCTGCTCCTCTGCTGTAGGTCAGGGCAAACACACACCATGCTGTGTAGATTTTAAATGAAGGACCTCCCACTCTGCAAAACTGTAATTATAGAGAAGTTTTTGCTGAGCACGCCTGATCTTCTCCAGCAACCACTCGCTGCATATTCAGACATTTTCACACCTGGCATCTGCCCAGTTCAACTTTAGTCCTATACCACTGGCCCCTGAGAAGCTTAAGAAGAGCGACCACCAGCTCAAGTGTTACATGCTTTACTGAAAGCACTTTGACAGCAATTTGAGAGGCAGGGGAGGACAGAGCTAATTTATTTTCCCGACACAGATTTCCACCTCTGATGAGGGAATTTTGAACCAGCAACCTCTGTAGCATAAGCTCCTTCCTCTGGCTTTTAAAGCACCTGCTGCTCCTAACACAGGTGGTACATAATAGGGAAAAGATAACACAAGACTGCCTTATGAGATGCAGCCTGGAGTTTTCTCACTGGCAATTTTGCACTAAATCATTGCCTTATATTAGGCTTGTCAAACAGTTCACAGCAGGAGGAGAGATAACAGTGGAGAGGGAAACCTATTATCAGTATAGATCTAGTTAATCAAGTTTTCATTGTGCTAACCACTTGAAAATGTGATGTTAGTGACATTAAACTGTTTTTTGCTAATGAGAAATCTCAGGAGGCATTCTTAAAGTGTAAAGATATCCCTTATCTTACAGATTTCAGAGCTTAGCAAAATGCCCATTCAATCTAGCCTTAAGGTCTGAAACACTTGCTTCTTCGCTTTAAAATGTTCTAAAAACAAAAAAGGAAAAATAATCTGGGATTTATTGGTTGGAGGTTTGTGGGCTTCTCATTTTGTTTCCAAAAAATCAAAGGATGCATTGATCTTTACACATGTAGACATTTATGGAGATTTTCTGTTATCATAGGAAAATACAGAAATTTCATGGTTAGGTATCGGCTTTGTCTCATTCCCTTGTGTTCCGGCTGTTTCCCCCTCCTTCATTTGTCCCCAGTCTGCCTCTCTCTTGAGCCGCGTTTCGACCAAAAAGTACTTTTCTTCAGGAACTAAAAGGTTCCTGTGGCCCACTGTTGTCTGCGTTTCCACCACGGCCGAAAGTCCTGCGAAGTTTATGCAAATCAGGCTGATGATGTATGGAAAAGCAATGGAGGTAAATGCACTACACCTCCAGTCCAGTAGGCGGCGCTAAGAACAACAGGAAGGCTATAAAACAACGATGACGCCATAGAAGTGATGGACAGGCCGGCATCATCATTTGTGCTCTGCGTAAATGGTGAGCAAGGCCTGGACCTTGTCGTCAGTCCATCTGTCGTAGACTTTCTTCTCCTTCTCGAACCACGATGAAAAACAACAGTATCGAATCAAAACAAAACAGCTGGCTTGCAGCTGCAGGCTTTTAAACACGGTGTGTGAAATAAAATGCAGCAAGTACTCAACCAATCAGAAATGTTCAGCACTGTGGACCACACCCCCCAAAGTTCCTGAACCTTTGGAAAGTACTGCACCCCAACCAGGGACTTTTTTGGGGGTCGATCAATTACCCTAGAACTAAATTTAGACCCTGGTTGCTGCGGTTAAAACGCGCATAGTTCTTCAAAAGGTTCCTGGTTCCTGGGGAAAGTTCCTGCAGTGGAAGTACATCTTTGGTTTGTATGTTGTCGGGCATGGTCCTGCTCCTGCCAAACCCCCTGCACACCTGCTTCTGATCAGCTCATTAACTCAACAAGCCCCTGCATTTTTTACACCCCAGGTTTTCACTATACTCTTCACCAGACTGTACATTGACTCATATGGTACCATGTTATGGAAACCGTCTAGTTTTTTGTTCATGGTTCCTCATGTCACATTTGACTTCAGTCTAACTATTGTTTGCCTGTGCTCCAGATTCACCTTCACCTGTACACCAGAACCCTGCCTTGCCCAGCTCCTCCGTGTATATGAACTCCAGCCTGAGAACTGGGAGCTAGCCAGCTCAGCTTTCGTCCCCCAGTCCCTCCAGTCCAGCCCATTTCCCTTCTCTGCTGCCCATCCCAATCTCTCCAGCAATCTCAGCTCCATCCTGAAGCTTTTCCTAATTTTTTACAATAAACTGCCTTTGTTACTGCGCTCTTCTGCCTCAGTGCCTGAATTCTGGGGTCCAGCAAAAGCTTTACTTTAAACATAACACACCATGTAGTTCATTTATAGTAAACACCCAGTAGAACCACACAGCCCAGGTGTCCTCACAAAGGGCTCCACTTCACTATCAGCTAGGCTCCTCTCAGTTCTTAGTTCAAAACTCCCTACAGCATTCATAATTCATTACAGTATTTTATTTTTCCTTCAAAACAGACAATTGCAAACTGCTTATCTTGAAATCAGACAAATCAAGATGCCTCTGCAGCCTCTTGTGAATGATAAAAGAAACAAAGAATAATTCAGATGTCTTATATCCTGCCATTGTTTTTGCTTGATAAAATCAACAGTGTGAGAATATGTCCCCTCAAGGAAGATAACTTTTCAAACACTTCCTATCTGACAAAGTCTGTAAGAGAGTCAATTTCAGGACTCCGAGACCTGCTGGCTTTCATCAAGGACTAATTTACACCTGGGACGCCAGGTGGAATCAATTTATTAACTAATTAACAAAAGTGCTAATTATGTAGAGCATTATTTGTGGACTGTGGGTAGGTTATTATTTTTGATGCTAAAAATTCAGTCTGATGCAGGAAAAAATAAGTATATATATATATATATAGTAAAAGTTTTGCTATTGCCAGCTAATATTAGCATTAACAGCTGCTGCCAAGAGCTTTGTTGCATTTACAAGACCATAGGTTGTAATACTCCCTCTGGGCAGACTGGATGCTATAGTGACTTCTTGTCAGAAAGTGAGAAGACAGGCCAATCGTCATAGAGTAATAGAAGCAAAACAAGAGGCTCTTGGCAAATAAAGGAACAAGGTTTGACCCTGAACTTGCAACATTTCCTCAAGGCTAGTTAGAAAACTGACAAATTGCTCCTTTGAATACAAAATATCACATGTTGAAAGATTTGTCAATTTATTTTTTTGCACTAAATGCTTTTCTTTACATTTAATTTTTTTTCGTTAATTTTATATGAACCTAAATAAGGAGCTATTTATAAGGTTTCTATGCCGCCAAATGTGGTTTCTTGACTGTCTCTTGATAAGACCTTCAGCCATCATTGTGTTTACAAGACAAGGGGTTCTTCAGGGCAGACTGGAATTGGAAGTTAGTTCTGAACATGCAATGTTTTTTCTAGACTAGAAAGTAAAAAGGTGTTAAGGCTAACACTGGCTGTGTAGGAATAGCAAAACTTACAGATAGCTTCTTTAAAAGCCAATAAGTACCGCCCGTCTATGTTAACCTCACACAATTATTATACTTACCGCATCTGAGTTGTTGTTCACGTAGGTTGCGAAACTCCAGGCCGTGGAGGTGGGTGGGGAACACACACACTGTGTCATTCCCAATCCTCACTGAGTTGCTCCGGGCCCAGAGGAGCAGCCACTTCAGCTGACAGTCACAGAATAAAGTCTCAGTGTGGAAGTGCCTGATGGGACATACCAGCATACAGTTAGACAACTGTGTGCTTGTGTTTCGTGGATTTGAGCAACCTTCCATTGATTTCTTTAATTCAGTGGCTGTTTGTCACAGCAGGTATTATGACAAGTCATATAACAGGAAAACACAGGTGTAATTGATAAAATTAATGATGGTTTCATTCCATTTGTGTGTGCCAGTTCCCAGGCTTACTGGCTCACCTACGTGGAACAGAGCCATCGTTAATGTCATTAGTTACACCTGTGCTTCTCCTGCTATAATAAGAGAAAGTATCTGCAGTGAAAACAGCTTGTAACTTCCTGACTTTTTTACAATTGCCACTGTACACTGAACAATAACAACTTAGGTTTGATTATTTTTATTTTTTTAACCACAACTTAGGTAAGTGAATGTATTTAATGTACATGTATGTGTAGGCTATGTGTTTGCCTTACAGCACTCTGAGAGCCACGAGGTGTGTAAAAAGTCCCACGGTCAGCGTGGAGAAGATGTTCCCAGATAAATTCCTGGTTGTGGAAAATAGGAAAACACACACACACACACACACACACACACACACACACACACACACACACACACAAAGACATTCATTCAGAAACAGACCACTCTTCGCAAGCACCAAAACCAAATTATGTATTTTGTTATGCATTACTAAGGCCATATCAAACACCATATTCTCTATACCGTGAAAACTGAGCATAAAGCAGGGCTATTCATGTTTTCAATTTAGGGATTACTCACAATTTTGAGAGGTTGCCCAGATCGAGAAACATTTCAGGGGAGAGACAGCCAATCCTGTTGTTGGATAGGTCCCTATATGGACAAAAAAGGTAAATCAAGAAGAACATCCAGCAGGTCATGTGGTAAATATAAATTTAACTGATATTGTAGTCACAAGAAGAGACAGGACAAAATAGGAATCATCAGCAAAAATATGTGTCTGTGTTTATATCTGTTTTCATGCATACTTGCCTTCTTAAAACATAGGGAACTTGAACAGCTGTGAAAGCTGTGTTAGTAAACCAGTGCCATGTTCATTCATCTATTCAACGTCCTGGAATATCTGTCCTGACCTTTTGTAACCTTTTACTCCTCACATAACCATTGCTGGCATACACACCCCAACACACACACACACACATGCAAACACAGCGGGCTTCCGTATGCAAGTAGCTAAGCGCTGTCGCGTCCATGGCTCCATGCCCTCGCACTCTGTAATTAAAGAGCTGCTTTGCTGGAGCAGCTGTGGGAAAATAAGCAGAGCACTCGAGTAATGACCAGTTGGGGAGCACTTAAATTAGCACTCTGCTGCTCCCCGAGCCTGGCGCACACGCGCCCCAAATCAGCTTGGATAACTCACTGCTTGCATCCCTGCCAGCCCAGATCCCACTAACTATCAGGCTGCAATCATGTCACTCACTCTGAAGCCTATATGTAGAAAGCCAGGATGAGAGTAATCATTGAAAAGATTGCTTGAGAAGAAGAGGTCATCATAAACGAAGGGGGAAAAAAACTCTTTTCTACAGCTTTGTGCATCTTTGCATTGCAAATAAGTTTGTAAGACACAACATTTTACGTAATTTCAAAAGACCAAATTTGCACACTGTTAATTAGAAAACATTATAAAACTTTGATAAACAAGAAAACACACCATTGCTCAATTCAATACACTTATAGAGTTTTGCCACTACACCTTAGAGTGGTTTGATCAATAGCTTATGATGGCTGGGAGTGACCTTCTACAACCTGCAAAGGTTAAGATCACATGACAAACCGAGGCAGCCAAAGGCATGAAAAGGCACATTTTTAAAACTATATTCAAACCAAAGAAATGAGAAAGAAAATAAACATTTGTAGCAAGCCTAAGCTCCCTCCTGACTGATTCTGAAAATAAAAATTAAATATAAATGAAAGTTATTAATTTTTTTCAGTTCCTGTATTATAGTTGTATTATATGCTCAAGAAAAAAAAATGTGAAATGTGTCAGTTTTAATATTTTTTGATAAAATCTCATCAAAAATTCAAAATCAACCCACAGCAAGCTAATAGTGGTCAGTCAGCATGTTAGCAGATTAGGTCACTAGCAGTGGTGCTAGCTTGGCAAACCCCATCGGTCCCATGATCGTTACCTTGCAGGCTGTAGCGGTCCATCAAGAGTTTCCCTGTGGTGGTCAATGTTAGCAAACTGTAGCTACATTTACCTGTGTAATGAACTGAACTTTCTGTGCCAGCTTGCAGACTTTACCCCCTTTCCACTTGTACTACTCTTAAACAATATTTTAGCCCAGGCAAGAATGGTGATCTGCTACCATAATGTGACTATTAGGAGTTGGGTGCATTGATAAACAGCTGTTGGTGCTAATTTTCCAGTTGGGTGCCAATAGATTGGCGCAACAAGATGACATAATTAAAAGAGCAGCATTCAAGCCTCAAATGGTTTCATTAATTTGCGGAACGTTACAGTCTGTTTCATCTGCCACTGTTTTCCTTCTCCTCAGTGGAGTGGGAGCCTCAGTGGTCATTTAAGTCACATGCTTCATTAGCTTACGTCATGATTTATCCGTTAAATCTGTTTCCATTGCATGTTGTCACATTCGACTTTCATTGATACACCAACTTTCCTACATCAGCCAAGCCTAAGAACTTTTTGTGTTATTTCAAGTTTTTTTTTCCACTCTGTTTTTTTAATGCTTAAATTAAAAATGCGCATAAAAACAAGTGGATGGCCCCATATCTATAGTCTCAGCAGAGGGTCAGTAGTTCTAATCCCCAAATGCTGAGTGGAGGAAGTGAATGACAAGTGCTCTCCTTTTCCTTAACCCCTCCAGCTGATGTGCCCTCTGGCAAAATATGAAACCCTCCCAAATCACAGCGGGCAGCTCCCACTTGTGAATGTGTCTGGCTGTATGAACATGAAGGAAGGCGCTGCTTAAAAAACGGCCCTCGGTTAGTTGTGTCTGGATAATGAAAGTTCACAAAAGCCTGAAGTAGTGGTTTCAGAACATTTGCCTCAGTTAAACATTTCAGTACTCTCTTCACTCTGCAGTTAAGACACTCCTACTCGTTGTCTCTAAAACCAGAGGACTTGTCCCTGTGTCCCCTGGAGAAGGCTATTACAAGGCTTCATCATACTTACAGTCTCCTCAGAGCCAACAGACCACGGAAGGCCCCGGGCTCCACTGTGCTTATCAAATTATTCTTCAGGTCCCTGGAGATGAGAGACAGAGAAAGGAAGAGTTAGCAACGACAGTTAAGCTACTGATCATCTATCTATCTATCTATCTATCTATCTATCTATCTATCTATCTATTTATTCTCTGCACTGATTTAAAGAGGCGGTTAGGCATTAGTTTTGAGCTCATGCTTGCTGACTGTATACACCCGAACCTTCCAAGGAAATGTGATTCATTCAAAACATGCATGAGGATGTTTATAGTTCTCACAGAGTGCAGTCTACACAATAATGGTTTGCGATCAGCTGGGAATAAAGGGAAGGACTCGGTTTTTCAAGCTGCAGGAAAGAAAGAAGATTTAAGTCTAGCATAAGGACAACTTTGAGCAATATCAAACCAGAGTATGAAAAATAAGAGCGCCAAGCGTCAACTTATGCTATTCTTAAATAATTTTTGAATTCAAATGTTACCTTTGTTCCTATATTATTCTAATAATAAGGAAATTCATCAGTGAGTAAGCTTGCACCTGTTAGCTGGACAGCACAAACTATTTCCTGCATTCTTAAGACCCAGACCACATCCAGACAAGAGGCAAAAACACACATGTTGCGGTTTTCAGCCAGGCACTCCTTGTCCGCCCCCACTGACTATACCCCAAAACCTCTGACGCTACTAAAAATGGATCTCAGAAAAATCTCCTCTATGGGTTTTCTCTGCAGGCCAAAGAAAACTTCCTGAAATTGTGTCCCTGGTTTCCTCTAACTCTACACTGTGTGTCCAGTGTGATGAGAATGAGAAGAAAGGTAGCGCCTTCCAAATGTGAGCAACAATGTAGCCCAAAACTTTTTTTAAATTAACAGTCATACAGGCCAAATCAAGGCTGGCCAAAAGAAACAAAACAAGACCAATATAACTATCAGCGCCACAGCCATTGTCCCAAAGTGAAAATAAAAGTAATGCGAGAACTCTGTTTATTTAACATGTGGGACAGTTTGGTTAAAAAATGCTCCCTTTTACCTAACAAAGCAGAAGCTAAATAACTTACTGCACTTCATTCAATACAGGATGAAAGATTTACAGGAGCCGTACAGTACTGCACCTTTCATCTAGAGACATCACCACTACTACGGTACATACACAGTATGAAACGCCTCAGCTGTGGTTGTGTTACAGTAACTGATGTTAATTTGCTCGATGTAAAGCATTAGTTACACATACAGAAGACAAGCCATCATTAGTAGCTGATGAATGACTCCCATCTGTGGTTATTGATCTGTGTCTTGTATTAAATTGTTTGGTACTTGGTTAAAACACACTTTGTCTGCAGCATTAGGACTCGCCAGCACGTAACTCCAACCAGGTTGTAGCCAGACTTATAATGTGTAAATGTGTAATTGACATTCACCTCCTGTATTTCTTTTTCTTTCTTTTTTTTCCATATCATTTCTTTTCATTCGTTTTGTTTCATTTTCATTTTTTAAATTAAGAAGACATCACATCATAGCACATATTCTCTTAATCTGAAATTTGGTAATGAATCTGTGCTTGGTTTAAACTCATCATCTCAACATGCAGCTGAACAAACAACTTTATATTTCTGCTGACTTTTCACAATCAGATTTACTAATGAGATTCTCCAGGATTTGTCATTCACACAATAAAAGGTGTAGCACACCTTAGAATGATCACTGAAGTTGCCTTTCTGGGAGACTAACCCCCTGGTCCAGTCGGGTCAGCCGGAGGCTAGCTCTCATCTCCGCTCTCTCATCCAAACTAGTCTTTGATCATGTACAAAATGCTACAAAAGAGCGGGTGTAGGGTGGAGGTCAGGAGGTCATCCGTTGTGCCGGCAGCAACTCCTTTTATCCTGAAACCGTCTTGCTGCTCACTGCTCTACCGTCTCTGAATTTGCTGAATGTTCAAAACTTTCCACCTCATCGACTGACTGCCTTACCAAGGGTCAGAGGTCACCACTCAGGGAGGCTACATACAGGAAATGTGCTGGTGCACATGTATCGAGGCTGAATCCATTTTTATAATGTACATACAACCAACAGCAGAGACAACCTTATGGGACATTGTTATCATAATATTCACAGAGAAAATAATTGTGATATATGGGTTTTTGTCATTATACTATAGTCCTGTTATTCAAAGTGCACTTAAGTGTCAACTGTATCCTTGTTTGTCTCACTGGCTCCCTGGATGAGGTAATTTTTTAAAGCCATATAAAACACACAATGGCATCCTGGGCAACACAACAACCTTTTATAGTCATCAGACCTGAGCCAACAAGAATCTACAAATAAATGTTATAAATTATGATTGTGTGTTAAACTGCTGGGGCTCCAGACGGGTGGGGTCTGCCACATAATACAACAGGATGAGTGCCAAAAAGTTTCAACAATCAGAGGAAACTATTTGAAAGTGAATTTAGCATCCTTTTCTGTGACTAACTGTCTGGCATGATTGGCAACGTCCTCTGTTAATGAGCTCCACACATCCACGCTCCAAACAGGATAAAACAAACTCAAATAATTATTTGCACAGCATACATCATATTATGATGTTTGTATTGTTCTAACATCAGAGTCCTGTTTGACAAAGTAAATTTTCCTCTGTTGTTTGATGTGGGCCCTCGATAAAATTAACTGGGGACCGTCTGACACCAGGATTACACAAGACGTGATGTCGGACATTATTAGTAGTCATTATTACATACATAATTACATGAATACTCAGCACTCATGAGTCGGACCACACCCATCTTTGAATTCAGCCTTCATTGTGATCTCAACTTCACACTTGAAGGTTTTGTAACTGTGTGTTGCAGGTCGTGACAATATCACAGTGACAAAATCTGTTTACAGACACACAGACATATAAACACCTGCCAAAGTAGTAAAAACTGCCTGTGTGATAGTTCCCACTACAGTAGTTTCCAGGACCACATTTTGCCATGATGACACACAGCTATCTTTGTGGCATTATTGACATACGGCATTCCCTAGCTTCTTACCCTAACCTTAACCATCACAACTAAATCCCCTAACCTAAACCTAATTCTAACCCTCAAACAGTGGTGGGCTTCCAGTTTTTGGACCCCATGGTTATAGTAAAAAAAAACACACACACACACACACACACACACACACACACACACACACACACACACACACACACACACACACACACACACACAATACCAGCTACATTATCGCAGCTGGTAAAAATGTCTCCTACTCCATCACCTGAACAGTTTATTTTTATCTTTTCTATTTTTCCAAGGTACAACACCCACTTTGCATATAAGAAGAAGGAGCACTGACGGTCGTGACCTCAAGAGGTCTCCCTCTCTTCAGTCTCTCTAACCTTCTGTATACACACATAAACAAGGCTGCTGCTACTTGTACTGTAACTTCATTCAGTGGTTCCCAGCTGCTCTGGCCTTGGGATGCACAATTCTTTTCAGTCATTACAGTCAAAATCCAGACATCGGTTACCATAACACTTCAGGTTTATTTCCACACATCGATTCTCTTAACTGCTTATCCTGTTCAGGGTCGCAGTGCATATTGAGTGAGGGTAGCCCTGGACAGATCACCAGCAAAACGCACACAGAGACAGATAACCACCTAGGGGCAGTTTTGAGCTTTCAAGTTACCTAAGTTGCGTAACTCTGGACTGTGGGAGGAACGCCACACAGAACATTCAGGTGACTGATTGAACCCTCTTGCCATGTTAACCACCAAGCTAACTCAGTCATGCATAACAGGATTCCGACATTGATTCTGAAATTAGTCTATTTGGTTGTTATTTGTTGAAACATGTCTTTCTATTGAGATAATTTCACATAGTAAATGATGCCACTGGGATGTTGAGACATTGTTTCTATTTTCCAGTTTATAAGTATTCTCTTTTTAGCAATTGTTAAGGCGACCAGTATGGGTTGTGTACATTTCAGTGGTGGTTCAACAGATGAGAGATCTCCACATTATTTCAATCAGAGTAATGCACCACTACTCACTTAGCTGGTTTGAGTTTCTCAGTCTGATTGTCTAGTTGTATTTTGACATGTTCTTATAATAAAATTCTACACTTCCTATGTACACACTTGCAATGTTTCACAATAACAGCCCCCCAGAAAGAAGACATGCCACCTGAGGCTTTTAATGTAAAACAGATAGAGATAGCACTGAATGTGCGGTGGCAGCATACAGCAACAACATAATAACAGCGAAGTGGAGCAAATCAGAAAACAGGGAGTCTTTTTACTATAGTATATTAAATATACGTACAGAGCAGGGGAAAGTACTGACTCTGATAATAGTCTGTCTAAAATAAAGACTTGGTTTTCTCTTCAGTTGAGGTAAACAAAGGCCCTGGCCACAATTTGAGAATTTATGCTACACACACATACAAACAAATGATAACTACCTTTGGGGAGACTTGCCCCACATATCCGTTGTAGATACAGCTGGAGCAGCTCAAATGAGATGAATGTTTAAACAATAACCATTTTCTACTCCCCCAGCCCTGTGTGTTTGAAGAGCAGGAGCAACCCTCTGTATAAACTCCACCATTTGTGGTTAATGTTTGAAAAGCTACTGAAGTGCTTCCCAATTAATTTAAACTGCACTGTATATCTTAGCCTGCTCAATTTCTCCCGAGCCATGTGACCCTCAGCATATCAGCCTGTTCACTATGTGACACTAATGGGCAGATTCCTCCCTGAATCGAGATGATTATTACCACATCACATAGCCACACTGATACGGAGGTGTGCACACACGTACGCTCACAGAGAAGACAATGGCCAGACCACACACATCCTCAACGCACTGCCTGTAGACAGACCACTGTTTTTCTTTGATAGCAAACGGTATTTCATCATGGACAGTCTCATTAAATGGATCTCAATGCTGATATGATTATCAAAATACCATCTGATTCACAAAAGGTCAAATTCTACATCAAGTATGTAAGCAAATAAAAGTGAAGCTCTCTGTGGCCACTTGGGCACTCATCCAAATGG